TGGCTGATTTTGTTGCCTTTTGCATCTGGGGACAGCTGGAGCTTAAGCTGTCTTACCTGTATGTGATGTAACTACTGTGCATCTTGCTGAGTGCTGTGCCTGAAACCACCATTGTGCCCTCCTGGGCATAAGTAACCGCACTCCACTAATAAGTGAACACTTGCTAAGCTGTGAACTCTTATCGAATGGTTGTCTACAATAGTTGTCTTTTTTTTTTATTGCAGAAAAGGAGTAAAATTTTTAATGGCTCATGAGAGAACTGCAGATTAAATTGTCTTTTCTGTCTATCTCTGCAAAAGTTTGTCAAGTTCTCAGAATTAAACTGGGATTACCTGAACTTTATATGATATATCTCCTATGGTCCAAAATTTTTCACACTGAAAAAATTTCTTTCTTATATCAAAAAATAGCATGTTTGTGGCTTAATATTATAATTTTTACTATTGTTTCTAGTCATTGTGTTAAGCTTTTCATATCACTTTTGAATTTCAGTCTTCACTGCAATACTGGCACTCCTTATAAACGAGGAAAACCAAAATATGTAGAGATTTTCTAACTTAGCTACATTTACAGGTTAATGTGGGGCAAATGTGTTCTGCCTGAGGAGCTGAATAAAGGAAACAGAGAAATGTTTAATAAGTTCCTTTAGCCTCTTTCGCTTTTAACTTATCAGAGTCCTGCCTTGGAGGATTGTGATATGGCAAAGATTAATTCATATGGTCAAATAAAGGGGTACTGGTATTGTCAAAGGTGTGGGGGGGCAAGCAGACATTTGTGGGGTGCTGGAGCATTGAGCTTATAGAATTTCTGATGTACTGTATTTAAGTGGTTGATGAAGGCAGTGGTGTAAACTGTTTGGATTTAGGAACATGCAAGATAATTCAGAGCACCTGTGCGATATACCTAACTCATAGACAAAGGGCTTTGACATCTAAAAACATAAATTCACCAATGAAGTTTGGAATTGGGGTCAAATTGAGTCACTGCCGTGTACGCATCCATAGCACTCCAGCTTCTGTGTAGAGCATTTTATTTAGTCTACATTAGCCCATCCAGACCCTCTAGTACATTTGGGAGATGGGTTGTGCAAACCCCAAAAAGGTCAAGTGGCTTACTAAAGACCAGGCTTCTCAACGGTGATCGAACTTGAATCTGAGTCTGGTTAATGACCTCCCTCCTTGAGCACACAGGGAGCCATTCCCACTGTCAGGGGAGTTGTGTGCCTGGCCGCAGTGATTTGGGAATGTGCCAGTAAGGGCATTTGCCTCTGTGCCAGTTGGCTTTCATTTCTGAGGGTGAGATGGACACCTTCCCACACGGAACTGGATCAGATTCCAGCCATCTAGATAATTTACTTAATTTTAGGGCATCTTGAAGAATGAATTGTGACTATGGCTTTAAACTATGAGGTTAGAAGCCAGGTATTCCCAGCACCTGGCAGTAACTGTTTGTTGCATAAATGACCTTTACATAATCTGATTAAAAGGAATCAGACTCATGGAATTAGGATTATCTACCCAGGGTTGAGATTCATGGGCTTGGGATGAGTTCAGTTCACTTCTGAAATTAAATACATTTGGACATCTCTTCAGCATCAGGTCTTCGTGTTTTAAAAATAAGCACGATAGCCACCTGGAATATTCTCACATAAGCCTCAATTTTGAGTTTAAAGTCATTGTGTTCCTTTGTCCTGCTAAGGTGGTGGCGTATCGATGCCTTCGTTTTTTTTCCACAGGTGATAATTGCAGATTCAGTTATTTCTAAGAGAAAGGATATTTAAAGGAGAAGAAAGCTGGGACTTTGGGAGTCATTCTTCACAACATGGTACTATCCTGCAGGCTGTGCAGGGAAATGATTCTGATCCTTCTTTTGTGATTTTTTGGAAGATTTGTTAAAAATTGTCACTTAGCTGAACTTCATTATATTTATATGGATGTGAAAATATATTTGCTATATTCTTTAGTGGGGTTTCAATTTGTTTACACCTGTCTGTGTGTGTGTGTCTTCTCCCCCCCCCCATAGAGTTCAGAAAATGCTTAAATGATATTTTTGACTTTCAAGTATGAACCCTTAGTGTGGCTGATAACTAGTAATTTATTTTGTCTGTGGAATGCTTTACTGTTAATTGAAAGGATTTTCCCCCCAGTATCACAGCCAATGACTTGTCTTGTGCAGCTAATTAGTGCGATTATTCCACAGCTGCATGTGCTGCTGCACAAAGGTTTGCTCCTGTTTTTATCAAAAGGATCAGTCTCGTTGGGAATGCTTGGACCTGACAGGCTTTGAATAGTAAGACCAGCGTTCCTTTATTTATTTCAAGTAGCCACCACCCTCCCACCCCCCGGCTTAGGAAAGTACATTTGAGCTTTGAACACATACTCAGAAATGGGAAAATACGTTTTCTTCTGATGCTCTTTTAATAGGTCCTTAGGAAGTAAATAGATTGTTTTAAGTGACTAGAGTACTGGCCAGGGGGTATTCTTATGATGTGAATGGGCCCATATATTAATATAGGAGGCAAGGTATTAACATTCGGTTTCTCTGGGCACGATGGGGGAACATCAGGAAAAGAGGCTTTACAGTTCTCAGGGTACTGACCACTTTATGGAGAACCGATGTGTTTTCCCTCTTACTGACAAAATGCTGTGTGAGGTAAGTCCAGTCTCCTTGCTTCTGGCCAAATGGTGAATGAGTATGCTACTCAGAAAGTACTATGGCTTTGTAGTTTAGAAGAGAAAAAGTGAAGAAAGTAAATTTACCTATAGTTCCCCTCCCACTCTGGCAACTGTGATCACTGCTACTCATTCCCTGCCAGGCATTGTATTTATATATATATCTATATATCTATATCTGTATCTGTATCTAGATATAGATATATAGATATATATATGTGCCGTACCTGTTTGAAACCAGAATGTCAATACATTTTTGTATTCTACTTCATAATTTACTCTTCTTGCGTGCATTTCCTACTTGGCCCTGTAGTTGTGCAATTTAAAAAAAACGTGTAGTATTTTATTGAATTCATGTGTCAGAGTTTACTTAACCATTCTTAAAATTTATGGAGGAATTATAAGTGATTCAGAATATGTTGCATTTTGTAATGTTATGTTTTCCACATTTGAATTATTTACTTAGGAAAATTGTCAATGAAATTTCTGAATCCAATTGAATGAACAACTTTATAGCCTTTTAAAATAACATTAAGTTGCTGCCTTACAGGATTATAATATTTACCAGCAATGGCCTAGGGAGTAGTGTTGGACCTTTTAGAGCTTTTAGTAATATAAACAGCCCACTGTGGCACGTGTGCCATAGGTTCGCCACCACTGGCCTAGAATGACATTATCATTATTCTTTGTCTTATAATGAACGTTTTTTTTTCAAGAATTGGTCCTATCTAGGGTGCTATTTTGCATCTGTATTTTTAAAATTTATTGTATTTTATAGCTTTCTTCATATCAGTAAATATATTTCTACCCCATTTTTAATGGTGGAACAGTGTTAAACTGTGTAAACTCATTACAGTTTATTGACCCAATCTCCCAAGGTGAAAATAAGTAAACTTTTAGTACAGTTTTACTATATAGTTTTTCTGGGGCCATGTGAGGACAACACAGATACCTCTTCATCCTGAAGAGTGAAGACACCTTCATCCTCACATTCTTGCAGAACCTGCAGGTTCCTGTCCTTAAGGAGTTTATAGGGGTGGTTGTTGATTTCAGGGCTTTAGGTCACCTTGTGAGAAGTTAAGCAGTGCTGGGGTCGACTCAAGGGAGGAAAATCAAGGGCAAATGCTTCTCTTGAAGCCTTTCTACAGTGTTTTCTCAAATGTTCCTTTTTATGTGTTTCCAGATGCTAAGGTTTTATACTATCTAGCTTACACAGAGATTTAAAAATCATATTGTGAGAAATAAGTTAATGGAATTTTTTAGGTAACAATAACAGCAACAGTAAACACTTAGTGAAGTAATGCTACCTGATACTCACTGTATGAGAAGATTTGTGTGCATTGTTTTATTTAAGCTTCATCAACGCCCCATGAGAGGCCTTTGAAATACAAATGATGTGCTAGAAGTATAAAAACATACTTCTCTTTTATAAGTGGGTAAGTGGGTACCAAACTGTTGTCATCTTTCTATTCCGAGTAACTAAGGCAGAGTGAAGTTGAAGTAGTTGATATCATAGAGTTGGCCAGATGAGCAACCAGAAAACATACTTAGGAAAATTATGAAATCTTTCATTCTTAATTTCTGGTAAGTGTTTAAGCACTTTAAATAAGTTTGAGTAGCAGAAGTCGTAAAATCATTAGGAGCAGGCCTCACAGCAGAGTGCTCCATAGCCATGATGTGCCAAGATGAATTGGAAGAAAAGGCAGTACAGAGAAAAGGAGAAGGGTTGTGTGGTCAGACTAGACAACCCCTTGCCATAGGACTGGGGTCGAGTTCAGCGTTAACGTTCTGATCGGAATGCTTCTTTCATTAATCATTTCTACTTCCTTTGTCTTAGAAACATTTCCCATGATAAACCTCAACTTCTGTTTAAATAATTCCTTGCTAGCAAACATTTCAGAAGTCTTCAAGGAATTTAGATAATATGTAGGAGTACTTGTTTGGTTAAAGTCAGTTATTTCAAAAAGCAAGTCAGGCAATTTATTTTTAAATATGGGTGCCATTAAGACTCATGGCTTGACACTGCATATGGTGGCGCTATATTTGGTGGTGATGAGTAGTGTACTGTATAAAATGTCAAAAAAAAAAACCCTTAAGTGTCTTGATAAAAATGCTTGGATGCAATCAAGCTGACTTATTTTAATTCAGCTACTAATGACTAAAATCCTGTCACCTCTTGATTTTCAATTATGTGGAGTACCGTTCTGCGACTTGATTATATTTGTGCAAGCTCATTTCATAGTTTGGTGCCATTTAGGGTACCCCAAAATGTAAACGAAGGGTCTCATTAGGAAACTAAACATTGTGTGCATTTTGGTTTTCCCACAGCAGTTCCGCGGAGCATCCTGGGGCCTCCAAGCCTCCGATAAGCTCCTCCAGTATGACATCACGCATCTTGCTACGCCAGCAACTCATGCGTGAGCAGATGCAGGAGCAGGAGCGCAGAGAGCAGCAGCAGAAGCTGCAGGCAGCCCAGTTCATGCAACAGAGAGTGCCCGTGAGTCAGACACCAGCCATAAACGTCAGTGTGCCCACCACCCTTCCCTCTGCCACCCAGGTGCCGATGGAAGTCCTTAAGGTATGTGAATGTTGCTCTTGTGATTGGACTGAACCCTCTTCTTTTTCCATTTTCCAGATGTTTTCTTTTTCAGAATGTGAATTAATATTGGTTATATTGGTCCGTCAGAATCATATTTGTTAGTGTTAACTCCACTGATTCCTACATGGCTTTATACTTTAAAAGAAAGTGGTAAACTAACTGGAAATGTAGTAGTAACACTCCATAAATGGTGGGAGCAGGTCAGTGCTCCATGTGGAATCCCAAGTAGAAATAGGTGTTCGTTATAATGACATCTTTTCATCTTTCTGGAGTAGAAAGTTTCAGAACATAAAAGTTAACGGAAACAGTCCTGCTCTTAAAACTTTTGTAAATTTTTTCTTAAATACATCCCATAGCCACACTTCAATCTTCTTAGTAAACCATGTTGGGTATGGAATCTGACTCTTAGAAAGTCTCATCAGATCTAAAATCATAGACAAGTTTTTTGTGCTTTAATAATCAGACTGCATAATCCTTTTACTGAAGTGAGTTGTCTGCTTTGGGTCTCTTTGATTTCTTGCGAGACTAGAAACTGCAGGAGCTTGTTAGCATCATTCTATCTAAGACATATAGCTTCCTAATTACTAAGGAAAGTTGTAACAAATCTAAGGATAGAATTCCATCTCCCACATGTGTCTTCCACATCACATAGGGAGATACTCCTTGTGTAATGATAAACATTTCAATTCTTAAATATAATTGGTTCTAAGAAAGTCGAGGAACTTCCTTACTTTTTAATTTTTTTCCCATTCACCTAATTGATTCATTCTGAAGGTACCAAGTCTTACTGTTCATTAAACAATGTGAGCTTTACACGCCAGTGATTCATTGTTGGTCTTTGCATTCATTTGTGTGCGCAGGAAAAAAAAAAATTGCCACTATTTTTTTACTATTAAAATAGGCAGAGGAATGATGTGTTATAATCAGGAAGCAATATTTAATTGTTACCAGGAAATAGGAAAGAGATTGTTTAAAAACAACTTCAAAGCCAGTTATATTTTATTTACAAAGACTTTTAAAATGTACTGTGACACAATAATCAAATTCAGAGAAGCTAACTGAAATTCTGTTAGGGTAAAAACAAATCAAATGGTTTAGCAGAAAATTTTACTGTAGTGTGATTGCTTGAAATTCTGCATATTGCTGCAGTCAGTTACCCTAGCCTAGCCCCCTGTCAAATAAAAGGAAGGTTTTTGCTCTAGAATAGATTGTATGAGTTTCTTTTTGTTTTGCTTGGTTGAAAACTGACAATTACTATTTAAAGTTTTTATAGATTATTTCCTGTTGCTCAAGTCATAGTTGTTTTGTTTATGCCTTACTTAAGCTTATATAAATTAAATAATAGCAAGATATGAAGAAGTGTATCAATTTTATTCATCATAATGCACTTTTAACCTGAAGAGCAACTTTTAGAATTTTTAGAGGAGATAACATGAATTTGAGCTAATAGTGGCTTATATCAGCTTAAAGGTGATACTTCATTTTATATTACATTGAAATCAAATTTCTTGTTAGGGCAGTTATGTGTAATGGTGGAGAAATTACCCAAGTGCAGATGTGTTAAGACATCATTTTCGGGCTGGAGATTTAGCTCAGCGGCACAGCGCCTGCCTAGCAAGCGCAACGTCTTGAGTTCAATTCCTGGTACCGGAAAACAAACAAACAAACAAAAAGACATCATTTTCATATCATCTTTAAAACTGACATAATTTTGAAATGTTAAAATATTTAACTTTTGAAAATTATTAAAATTAGAATCTATGTCAAATAATTTGAATAATAGTTCTCTTTTCCCTTTTATGTTGGTATGCTCTGGTTGCAGTGGGTTGAGCTGCAACTGCCAATTTAGGAATACCAGGGAAATGTCCCCAGTTAAAGGATAACTAAATTATTAAAACCGAAAGGCAGTCTGGCCAGAAATGGGCAAGTGGTAGATTTATATATCAAGCCAAGTAGATTTCATCTCCATTTAACTTTTACATTTGTATCATTCAGTTAGATAAACTAGTGACGTGTGTCGGTTAGAAGAACTATCAGCATGACAGTTTGGATGGGTTTGATACTATTTAGACTGTAGTGACCTTAAGTGAAGGACCAAATAAAAGCGTAAGATTTCATTCACCTAAAGTATTATTCTAAGAAATTCAAATAAAATTTGTAAAGAGAATATCATAAATCGTCATTTCAGTTGTTTTAGGCTTAGAACTTTTTGAAGATAATTCACATATTTTCAACAGTTTTGTATATGAAAATATTACACAGTATTTATTATAGAAATACACCTGAAGAAAAATGTGGTCTTTTATTTTCCCTTTTGTAGTTTTTAAATCATAAAAATAATTTTATGAAGTAAATTGTTAATTTTGGAAAACAGTTAATTTGCTTAACCTGAGACCTTTTGCCATAAATGTACATTTTCAAAAAAATGATTAAGTCTAAGTATACTGAGTGCATTATGATTAGACCATATTGAATAAATATTTTCTCATAGTGTAGTCTGAATAAATTCGTCATTTAGTTTTTAAAGGTTTAAAGTGCTAAAGCAGAATATCTCTGTTTGTCCTTGGAAATAGGTATATACAGCTTGACCTTTCAGCACGTGCTGGAGAATCCCTGGTTAAATTTCTGCATTTCCTAACTGCTTTCTACAACCCTGAAAGAAGAAAAACCGTAGTTTACTTTTCTCTCTCTCATGCACACGCACACACGCACACACAATTTATCAGAATTCTACTATCAATGGATTGAATTACTGATTTTGAAATGCCAAATCAGTGCTTCCAGGTTAATCACTTTGGCAGAGTTGTACTTAAAATATGAAACTTTGTGGAGCATATGTAAAAATTGTTCACATCTGGGCAACTGAGGACTAGTTGGAATTCGTGTCAGAGGTTGGAAACTCGCATCACTTATTCCTCAGCACACAGTCATCGTGTGGACTATAAGCTGATGAAGCTTCACCGGGTTAGCTTCTGGTTTCTGTCTGGATTTCGTTACTTGGTGGATTAATTGCTCTTACTGATTTTCAGGTTGGAGGACATGGGATGATGAGCCTTATTCCTCTGTATTTATCTATCAGAGGTGTTCTCAGGGTTTTTAAGAACAAGTTTACACAACTGAGTAAGGTAATTTAAAGATGCTTCTTTACCATAAGTGAAGCAACACTTAGGATGCAAAATGCATTTTTTTTTGCAGTTGTGAACGTACCCTGGTTTGAATGGTGAATTAAACAACAAACACATGAAGAACTATGATAGAAGTGATTTCTTCTACAGATAGGTTTTATTAGCATATGAGTCACAGTAACCTGCAGTATGAAAATTGATGTCGATTTTGTTTTTAAAACACCAAAGCAAAGTAAGCAGATACAGATGTTGCAGACATGGTAGGTCTCAGAACCAAAGAAGCATCTTGGTGTCAGCCTTCAAGTTCCTGTCCACACGCTCATCAGATGTGTTGTTACAGGCTCTTCTCTACCTTCTATTGGTTATTGCAACACATGCTTAGTGTGGTACCTTAGACTGGCAAGTTCATCAGGGTATCTTTTCCCAACTACCCCATCACGGACTCTGGAAGTTCATAGCTTGAAAATATTTTTCTGTTCAGCAATTTGTAAGGAATTTCCAAGGATCTCCCCCCTCCACCGCTCTCTCTCTCCCTCCCTCCCTCCCTTCCTTCCTCGCTGCCTTCCTTACTCTTTCCTTCTTCCTCTAAGTTTATGAATCTAAAGGCCAGGTGTTCCCTTTGGAGTAAACCTACTCAATACATTGAAGTTTTATGCTCTGCTTCAGATAAAGGTGATATGAATTTAAGAGAACAAAATACCTTTTGTTACTGTGGGATATTTTAAGTAGTTTAAAGGAATTTACTTAAGAATATCTGTCCTTTTCCAAATCATCTCAGGAGTTGGGCAGATTGCTCTGCAGTTAGAAAGGGTGCTTTGTGTTCATCAAATACATAAATACTTTTACCAGGATCCTCCACACTGTAAACTAAATTTACTTTTCCTCCCCAACACTGCATCAGTTTGAACAGATTCTGGTGTGATGGAATGGAAGTCCTGCTTCCTCATCACCTTGTTCTATAGAAGACACTGCTGAAGGTTTCACCAAGGAGGGAAAAGGTGAACGACCATATTACCAGTTTTTTTCTATAAATGACGAAATCCATCTGTAATAGAATGTTCAAAGTATGGCTCAGCTTTTAGGTATAATCCAGGAATGTGGGAAAGGTTGTGTGGATTTACGAGCGGGTTAATGTGTAATGGATTGGCAGAAGGAATTTCTCCCAATGCTCACATTTAGATTTTCTTTTTGATTATTTAGCCAGGAATACAGAAACTGAACAGCTTCACAGTGGCTGCAGGAAGCCTGAACAGATGTGACACATATCAGATTGGCTTGCTTTGGCCCTTTAGGGGATCCGTTGCTTAAGGTGCTGTCCCCATGAGATAAGGACCTGCAACATTTGAGGTTTCTTCTAATAGCATATTTCATCCATTCATGAGCCATCATGTACTTATGTCCCCAGACAGTGTGACACATACAGACAACCTGTTAGCCTCAATGTCAGGGAGTGTTTATACACTGGTGTATCCTTCCATTTCTGAATCAATCTCAGTGTCTCGATATCTGCGAGGTACGAGTATCCTTGTTTGGGACAAGACAGGGATTCGGGTTCTAGGTTCCACAGATGCTCCTCCTTCTCCCAGAGACCTCGTTTCCCTGCAGTGTCTTTTACACATTCAGTGTCACACATATGGTCATTTATTTTCTCTTTAAAACTCATTTTATTCACTTTAAAAATTGCAAGAGGTGCTCATGTACCTTTATAAATACACACATTGTGGAAGAATAATCCAGTGGGAAACTCGCCATTGCTACCACCCACTTCCTCCTTGAAGCTCCGTGGAGGGAACTGCTGTTAACAGCATAGGGTACAACCTTCCTGTCATTTTCTGTTTTCCAGCTGTGCCATTG